CCCTAGACGCTTCCCACATCAGTTTATGTTCCCTCTACTCCACCCCAACTCAGATTGTGAGTAGGTAGAGACTTTAGTCCTACTGCAGGTCTGGCCTACAGTGGATGCTCAAGAAAAAATGGCTATTGAAGAAAATTTCCATTGGCCCTTTTTCATTTGCTGCATAGCATTAAGACTGCAATATCTGAAGGTACAGTTCATCGTTCACTGTGATTTATTCCATTCTTGCTGACTTAAGCAAAACCAAACTCGTTTTTGGTTGGGCTCTTAAAGTTTATGGATAGCGCGTAAACAAAGCTGCTCAGCGGGTTGTTCTATAAGAAAACATTATTCAGAAAGTTTTCCTTTGGCTTCCAGGGAATTCCAAACTGGTTATTTTCTTAAAGCTTTTTTTCCTTAGAAATATATTTGAAATTTGAAATTTCTTTTGCCTTGAGAATTAGAATCTCCATGACTGTTCCAAACCTGGAAAAGCCCATCCCGTGCTGAACAGGTGTGGGAGCAGTACAACAGAAAATGAAGAAGTTCAAGGCTGACTACTTGCACTGGTGTTTGGAAGTCTGGGGATGGAGAGAGATGACTGAGCTTGAGATGTCTCTGCCCTACCTCATTCTTTTGTAGGCCACTCGTTTCCTTCCCTTTTTATAGACTGACTCTAAGTGAAGTTTTAAATGCATTACTCTGTTTCCAGCCTCTTCTGCTCCCCTTGCTACCAAGGGCTTCAAGCTCTTTTCTTTACTCCCCTTACTTTCCCAGCCATGTGTCAGGTAGGAAGGAAGGAAGACAAGCACATCAGCCGAATGCCAGGAACTCCACGTCACTTATGCCAACCATCTATCTTCCCGTAGGCTCTGATCCCCCTCAGCTGCCAAATGAGGGGGCAACCAGATCATCTCTGATCATCTCTAAGGACTCTTTTGGCTAAAGCAAATCATACTGGAGTCTATTTCCCATTTTGAAACTCTATGCTTTAATTCCCATAAATCTTTACTTGATGCATCTTCAGTGAATGTAATTCAGTTTCATGAGAGAGTTCTAGGGAACAGGGCTATCAAAGGGCAGATCAGCTTTTGGTTTACCTTGTTTTCATTGTTTCTTCCATTTCTGGGCTTACGGTATTCGAGGGCTCAGACCTCTCCAAGGTCATTTAAAAACTTCAAGTTCTTTCACAACTTTTCTCTCCAAAAGGAAGAGAGAGGGCCTAGAGACCAGGATTGTAAACTTGGGACTGCCTGTTAGCATATTACAGATGAGGCTAAAGAAAACATTTTGAAATATAATTGCTTTGTACTGGAGCAAAGCTGTGAGCTTCTTGCCTGAAAGACCATTTTTGATCCACCTCTGTATGCTCAGGACCTTCTATAGAGCCTATCGCAAAGTAAGATATTCAGTAAACACGGGTTCTGTAACTCAAAGGAAGGGGCTTTATAAAGTTCTTGCAAAAATGGAGGACCAACAGGCCACATGGCTGACCACAGTTCAAGTCCCAGACCGGATGGATTGCTTGCTCTCTCTCTCTCTCTCTCTCACTCTCTCTGGTCACATTAAAATAAATGAATGAATAAACAAAATTAAAATTATTTTTTTTAATTCTTACAAAAATGGAATTAGGGTCACCCGCATAGCACAACGGTTTAGACCTTTGTGTGGCCAACCACAGTTCAAATTCCAGTCCCATCAGCTTTAAAACAGTCCAAGAACAGGACCAGTAGATAGCATAATGGTTACATTGCTGGACTCCCAGATAGTCAACCGTGGACCCAGCGGCTTGAAACTCACACCAGGCACATGTGCGCCCAGTATCCCAAGAAGAGAATGGAGGAGAAGGGATTGCAGCATGGCCATTCCCCCCCGCCCCCGTGTGTGTGTGTGTGTGTGTGTCTGATTTTTCACTTTCTATCTCTGTCTCTCTGGTAAGCACACGCGACCTATAAAAAGATCTCTTAAAAAAAAAAAAAGATCCAGGCACATTTGTGCACCCCAAATCTTGATGAAATATACAAATGGAAATTGTGGTGTGACCATGCCCCACTGGGGGATGTTCTGTCTCTCTCTCTCTGTCAGGTACACACACCCTGTGGAAATAATGTATTTATTTTTGTGCAAAATTTTTTAAAATCCACATATCGATTTTTCATAATATGGATTTCCATGAATTTTTGAAGACCCCCCCCTTCCTATCTAATCAGGTAGGAATTCCTATCCTCTATTTTTTTTTTTTTGTAATGATAGTGTTTACACACACACGAGAAAAATAAATAAACATCCTCAACAGGGTATTGAAATGCTACCAATCCCCTTTTCCTAACATTGTAGCTTTTCAGGTCCTGGGCACCCTAAGCACAAGCCTGGCATGTTTTTCAAGCCAACCTGGATCCAAACTGTTGTGGACATACGGCTTCCAGCACTGCTGGGTATTATCATAATCACTGCCCTATCGAAAATCTTTCATAAATTCATCTATGAACTGGACTTTTAAATGTTTTTCATTGTTAACATTTTTCAGAATAAAAAGGTAACTACTGTGATGTGCAAACTATGCTTATCAGATGCAGCCAGATGGTTCGCCCCGGGTGAATGGACAGGGGTCATTCCTATGTCTCTCCCGATGACAGAGCACAAGAGTCCGGCTTCAGAGCACTAAAAAAGGAGCTACTGTGGAGTCTTCCACCTTGACCGCAAGGATGCCCGAGGTCCAGGAGGTGGATCGTGGGGGCAAGCTAAGGGACTCTGCTTGTTCCTGAGGCTCCTACAGCCCAGATCTTTGAAGGTTTGATTAGACTCTCAAGACTACAGCCTCCTAATAAGTTGGCGGCCCTGGGGTGTGAACCTGATTTCTCAGGCACACTTTCCTTTCCCCTTAAAGAGTGTCGCTTCCTCTTTGACTTTCCTGCATTGACTGAGAGTGACCCCCAGCCAGACTCCCTGTGTTTGGAAACCCAAAATTCTATTACTAAGGCCTTTTGCAGTGCCGTTAAGAAGAGCGCAGCAAGGCATCGGTAGCAGGCGCCAGCCCGTGGACTAAAGCCTTAGTGAAAAGTAAGAGTGACCGTCTGAACGAGGAATCGGTTTTTTCCAACAAGCAGGACCGAGGGGACCCTGCGCCTGCGGCCTCGGCCGCTCCATCCACGCGCGGCGCCTCCAGGAGGGCGGGGCGGCGGTCGCGGTGCCCTGCCTCCCAGAAGCCTCCGCGCGGCCTTGCTGGGATAAAAAGGCGGGAGCGCGGCGGGCGGCGCCGAGTATTAGGGCTTCTGTTTCTGTCGTCCTTGTCCCGCTGCTCCGCGCCCCGCGCTGGACGTCCACTCTCTCCGCCCGTAGTTCTGTCCCTCAGGAGGGCGACCAGACAGGCGGCCGAGAGCTCAGCGACTCCCGAGGCCTGGGGGGTTGGGACGACTATGTGGCCGCTGCACGTTTATACCCGCAAGAAGCGGGCTGGCCAGAGGCTCAACGTCACGCCGACGCCGGACCCGGGCGTCTCCGCAATGGCCGACGCTCCGCTGGGCGGGCGCCCGAGGCTCCCCCCCCGTAAGCCCCGCGGTGCTGCCCTGCGGGGCGGATGCGAGTCGGCTCCTGGGGCGGGTGGGGGCCGCAGAGGCCCGTGGGCCGGCCTCCAGGTTGGTTGCCCTGAAACGTGCCGCCCTCTCCAGGCAGGAAGGAAAAGGGCCAAGCGCAGGGGTTGCCGAAGATCGCAGAGAAAGCCGAGCGGAGCAAGCAGGGAGGTAGCGGCTCTGGGCCGCCGAGGTGCGTAGGCTCCCGTGACAGCCCCGCGCAGACTGAGCGCCTCGCTGGAAACTTACTCTCCGGTAGTCTCATTCTAAGAGTGAACGTAGAAAATAAATAGAATACCCTCTTTTGCTGTTGTCAGGGCGTAGACCCAGAAATTTGACTTAACAATGTGTGTCAAATACACACACACACACACACACATATGTGTATATACACGTATATATACATTTTTATATATTATTTATATATTATATATACTACATAATATATGTATTATTTTAAAAAGAAAATTTGCCAAGTTACCAAAAAGCAAGCTAGATAAAGCTTCCAGAAAAACATTCGTAGCATCATTTGAGTATTGGTGCAATTCATCCACTCGGGTCTTTACTCCTTCCTAAAAATGTCCCACAACAAATTCAATACGGGGAAGGGAAGTGGAGAGCCAAGTCCAAGTGGTGCAAACTAATTGTTATTTATTTGTTAGCACTCAGCTGATAGTTACAGGAGAGAGAGGCCTGCAAGAAAATAGTGCTAGTGAAGAGACCCAGGATGAGAAGATGGCTTCAGTGAGTGTATGTATGTTTCTTTTACAGTCCTTGGATACACTTAGTGTAGAGTCTAGCAGTACCTGATACACCTCTGGATGAAAGAATAAAATGGAAGACCAGTAGATGGCGTAATGGCTACGTTGCTGGACTCCCACGTGGAGTGGGAGTCTCAGACCCCTGGCTTAAACCTCACAGGGGCTGTGTGGGTGTGTGCCAAAAATCCAGAGAGGAGAATGGAGGAGAAGGGATTGAGTTGTGGGAACCCCACTGGAGGGGTGATTTCTCCCTTCTGTCTCTCTTGTCTTTCGATCAAGTGCATGCTCACTATAACAAAAATCTCTAATAATAATAATAATAATAATAATAAAATGGTGTTTGTTCAATAGAAATTGTTAGTACGTAGCTTTCTCATATTTTTATAAATGCTGGTGTGTTTTTAGACAGGCCCTTCAGTTTCTGATTCAGATAGATCAATAGGCATGCATTTTTATTTTTTTCCTTCCCTTGACAAGTATTGGGAAAATGTATATTACTTCCGAATATTCTGTGTGACATATATAGTTTCTTTTTTTCTTTTTTTTCGGAGAGGTTTTTGCTATAGGGCACATGCGCTCGCCAGACAGAGAGAGACAGAGAGATAGAAAGCAAGAAATCACCCCCCAGAGGGGATGGCCACGTCGCAATCTCTTCTCCTCCATTCTCCTCTCAGGATCTTGGGCACGAACGCACATGCGCCCAGCATGAGTTTAAACCACCAGGTCTGGGACTCGAACCGCGGTCAACTTCGTGGGAGTCCAACGACATAGCCATTATGCTAACTGCTGGTCCCCAATATGTAGTTTCTTAATAATTTTGTGTTTGATAGAATTTTAACATTTTAAGTCCATTTTAACATTTGCTATTTGAATTTCCATTAACAACTAGAAACATGATTTATTACTAAGGATGACATATGTTATAGAACATTCTAATTTCCATTCATTAGAATATTATGTAAGTCCTTGATGTACTTTATATGAGTTCTGTACAGAATTTTAAAGTTGTATAACTCAGATTTTTAAAATTGCTTGTGACTCATCTGACATTAGCATTAGATTTGATAAGCAAGTTTCAGATCCTGAGCTTACCTATTCCCCTATAGTATGTATTTGGCGAGGGAGGTTTCAACCCAAGACATTTTTAAAAGCACTGTTACCCCAGATGTTTACATTGTAAAGTGTTCTTTGTAGATGATTTATACTATGTTTTAAAAGAAGATTTAAGGGTCCAACAGGTGACATAGTAGCTAAGGTGCTGGACTCCCACATGGCCAACTGAAGTTCAAATCTGGAACTGGTGGCTTCAAAATCACTTGTGCAGGAGAGGAGAAGGAATTGCAGTGTGGCCATTCCCCAACCTCCCAGGCCCCAGGACAATTTCTCACTTTCCCTCTATGGCAACCCCTCCCCAAAAGAGAGATTTAAAATGTTTCTTTGATTTTTGTATATTTCTGTTCCTTTTTAATGCATTTCTTTAAAAAATTATCATTGTTATTTTATTGTATATTCCCCCTCACATTAGTCTTCAAAAGTGTGATTTTTTTCCCAAAACTTTATTTAACTCTATTTATTTATTTACTTATTTTGACCAGAGAGGGACAGAGCAGGAGGGAGAGGGAGAGGGAGAGGGAGAGAGAGAGAGAGAGAGAGAGAGAGAAAGAGAAACAGTGAGAAAGCAAGCTGCCAGGTCCAGTACCTGAACCGTGGTTGGCCATGTGTGAGTCCAGCGCCCTTAACCACCACGCCACCTGCCAGCCCCCAAAAGTATGATTGTTTTAGAAAGTATTTTGTCTTGGAGCTAGCAGGTGGTATGGTGGTTAAGGGTGCTGGAGTCTACATGGCTGACCACGATTCGAGTCCTGGACCTTCCAGCTTGTTTTCTCACTTTCCCTCTCTCTTTCTCTCACTCTGTTCCTCTCTGGTCAAATTTTAAAATAAATAAAGTTAACAGTAAATAAGGTTAAATAAAATAATAAATAAAGTTAAATAAAATAATTAAAGATAAAGAAAGTATTTTGTCTTGTAGATACTATAATTTGTGTAACTGTCTTCCTGTGGTTGAGAGTTTTTATAGTTGCTATTTTATGCGTAAGAGAGAGACAGAAAGCACCTTCCAATAGGGTCTGATTATGCTATTGGGTCATTGGAAAAGTCATGATGTATTTTTCTATGTTTTTCTTTTGCAAAAATGTGTCCTGACTTTTCTAACAACCTAATGTAATCCTTTTGCCTCCAGTGCTCCATCCCATCAGAATCCTGGGTATGCATATGCATGACATGCCATGGGGGCCAGGACTCAAACCCTGGTCAGCCATGTGGGATCTGGCCTCCTCTGTGCCACATCTAACAGCTGTAGTGCAGGCAGGAAGTGGAGATGGTTTGAGATTGGTAGGGAGATCAAGATGGTTTCCAAGGTTTTGCCATCGTAGGTATTGGTAGACTTCCTGCTACAGAAACAGTTTTGTGTCTCGAGTTGTTAACCTAAGATAAATACTTTATAGTGGTCAAAGTTTGGATCATGTCTAAGGTTTTTGATTCACATTCACTAATCAGCACCATCTTACCTGAGACTTGAAATGTATGTATTTTATAAATGAAAAGTAGCATGTTTCACTGTCCATTCCTTTGAATGATAGTGAAGTTAAAACTTTACCAAGTTATTGGCCATTTGTATTTTTTGTGTGTATTTATTCATTACATATTAAAGAAAGTTAATGTAACAGATATGTAACAGATATTACTATATTTGTTTATTTTCCTTTAATTTTATGTCTAATTTAGAATTTAGACTTACCTGTCATCAATCTTTATTTATTCACTTACCTCTATATTTAGATAATAAAACCCTTTTCTTCTAGGGAGTAGAAAAACATTCACCTTTATCTTCCATTTGTTGGTTTATTTCATACAAGTTAGTCGACTCACATTACCGATTCCCTAGATATAGCCATAATATTATATTTTAATATTTATTTTTAGATTTAATATAAATATCAGATTATATCTGTGCTCAGTAAGCTGAAAGAATCTATTTTATGTATGAAACTTATATATAAAGTTGACATTAGTTTTGCATTTTCAAAATAACCAAATCAACATGATATAACAGAAATACGTTCAATCTCATCATTTGGGCTCTCTCTAATTCTTATTTAACATAGGAATCAGTGACTGACGACCCTCTGATTGGAAGTAGTTCGTCCAATAGTGGACTAGTATCAGGTAAGAGTACCAGATGTAAATTTCCTCCAGATACAAGCAGCCATTTGTATCTTTCCTCGTCTTCCATCTTGGTGTAAGAGGCGTCTTTCCCTTGGTCTCCTCTGGCCATGCTTTAGACCTCATCCTCAATGCCTTCAAGCACACACCAGTAAATAGGAAATTACAGTTGTGATAAGTGCTACTAAAGAGTTTGACTTGAGTGTAATTCATTGCATTTAGTAAGAGGGGTTATGGACAGCTTCTCTGAGGTGATGACAATTAAACTGAGATCTGAAGAACAGCAAGAGGGAACAGCATATGCCAAGAGCTTAACATGGGACTGAATGTTACCAGGTTCTCAGAGAAGTCATGACATTTTTTTTTCTATGTTTTTCTATGCAAAAATGCATCATGACTGTTCTGACTACTCAATAGGTGTTCAAGGAACTGAAAAGAGGCCGGAGTGACTGGAGTCACAGAAAGTAGAGGAAATGCGATTATGAGACAAGACTGAACAGCCAGTTAGAAGCTTTATGTAGCTTTGTAGTCTGTTACAGATACTGACTTTTATTTTTGGAGCTAGGGAAGCCATTAAGTTTTTAAAAATAGGGAATAATATAATCACTTTAGTTGTTGTATGGGAAAATAAAAAAAAATAGACAGAAGCAGGAATCGGGGCCAGCAGGAGGCGTGGTGGTTAAGGGCACTGGACTCCCACATGGCAGACTGCTGTTTGAGTTCTGGACCTGGCAGCTTGCTTTCTCACTTTCCCTCACTCTCACTTTCGCTGCTCTCTTGTTCTGTCCCTCTGTGGTCAAAATTAAAACTTAAATAAATAAATAAAGTTAAGTAAAATAATACTAGGAATGATTTCAAATGGACAGTAGGCAGCTGTTGAAATAGTGTAGGAGAGAAATAACGACATTTTGTACTGGGATGGCAAGACTGGAAACAGAAGTGGGCATATCTGCTGGCTGTTTTAGGAAGTGAAATTGATAGGTTTACCAATGAAGAATGTAGGAGATGGAGGAGTCAAAGATGACTCCTGTTTCTGGCTTGTGCACCTGGATACAAGTTACTGCGATTCACTGAAAAAAAAAAATCTGATTTGAGAGAAAGGCCATGAATTCAGTTTTTAATATATAAGTTATGAGTTCCTTTAAGATGACTAAGTAGCCGTGTCAAATAGGCAGATGGAAGGGAGGGCCGGAGATAGTAATTTATGAACCATCTACACATTGGAATAACTTATTTTTGAAAACAAGAAAGGATGCCATCAGCACACCAGAAGTGCAAAGGAATTCTTAAAAGCAGGTTGATGAATCTATTAAGGACAGGAAAACCACTGCAGAGGTCAGAGTACAGACATAGTCTGAACTCTTGGTCAATAAATGCAAAGAACTATCAATAAAATAGAAGGGGCCCTGATGATCAAGGTGATGGATTGAGAACTACATTTAAAATACCTGGTCTCTATCTCTTCATCCCCTTCTTGTGTTAGAAACACTAGCACCTATCAGTGCCTGCTGCCCGGGTAAGACCCTGAGAACCGCTCACAAGCCAAGTGAGCTCTAAGGGACTGGCTGCTTAGGTTCAGTGTTGGGGCTGAGTGGAGAAGCAGAGTAGAGTCTAGGTTGCCACTAGGATAGCAAAGGGAGAAAAGAAGTAAAAAAGGTGGACAATTCTTGTGCTCGTTCACTACAGGGTAAATCTGTAATATGGCTCTGAACTGGGGATTCTGGTTCAGAAGTGTGTGAGTGTGTAAGTGAAACAACCTGATGTCATCTATGTACCATTCGTTCCACTCTTCCACCGCATTTGAGTTACTCAGTACTGGGACATTCAGAAATCCTGAGATCATTTGCTTTCTGTTTTTTTGTTTGTTTGTTTGTTTTGTTTGTTTGTTTTTGGGGTTTTTTTGGAGAGGTTTTGCTATAGGGCACATGCGCTCGCCAGAAAGTGAGAGACAGAGAGATAGAAAGTGAGAAATCACCCCCCAGGGGGGATGGCCATGCTGCAATCCCTTCTCCATTCTCCTCTCAGGATCTCGGGCACGCACGCACACGCGCCCAGCATGAGTTTAAGCCACCAGGTCTGGGACTTGAACTGCGGTCGACTACATGGGAGTCCAGCAACATAGCCATTACGCTAACTGCTTGTCCCGCTTTCTGGTTCTTAAATGTAGTTAGTGGCCGCTGATCTTCTAGCTACTGAAATTCACCCCTCCCTCCCAGGTTTTTTGTTGCCTATTCAGTTAGCTCCTTGAAGGTAACCCCTGGCTCAGGGAGGATAGAGCAGCGCTGGCAGAGGTATCAGAGCAGAAGCAGCAGCAATGGTGGCAGCAGCAGCGGAAGGTAGTGGCCAGAGAGGTACCAACTCACCAGAGTAGAAAGGTGAAACCTGCAACTGCTTAGAATCAACCTCCACAGAATTCATATCCTGGTCTGCATGTTACCCACTGACAGTAAATTTTTATCAAATCCTCTTTTTCAATCTCAGACAACACACACTTGAACAAGACCTCCAATGTGGACACTGGCCAGACAAGGCAGCGCCCCCATGTAACCTGCAATACCCAGAAAATACAGGAAGACATCCCCACCCAGAACACAAGTTTACAGAATATCTCAGCTCTCATCCACAATCTCCAGAAGCAAGCCACTCTTTCAGCATTTTTATGCACTGACATACAAATAGAAATTTTCAAGTAGAGATATGAATAAGGTGGCCAGAAACAGCTAAACATTTAAAGAAAACTAGTGCTATGGAAAGGAGACCACAAATGTAGCAAACAGAAGAACTGGTACCAGAGTAAAGGACAGAAAATTTTAAATTAGACAAGAGACCATTAAATTAATAATGTAACAGGCTGCTATAAAAAGTAATTAGTCCCTGGAACCTAAAAATATGATCAAATAAAAAACTCAGTAAATAGCCAAATAGAATGAACGAATTACCTAGTTAACTTCTACTTGTTCTTCAAAAATAAATTTAGGTGCTATTTCTACTGGGAAGCTTCTCCTGAACACTTGAAGCACTCTGTATATTTCTTTCTTTCTTTTTTAAAAGAATTATTTATTTACTCTTATTTGTTTATTATTATTTTTAAATTTGCAGTAGGATATGTATGCTCATCAGAGGGTGACAGAGAAAGAAAGGGAGAAAGCAAGTCACAAGGTCCACGACTTGAATTGTGGTCAGCCATGTGGGAACTCCAGTGCCTAACCACCACGACACCTGCTGGCCCTGCTCTGTGTATTTCTGTCATAGGGCTCAAGATAGCAGTGTAATTGTTTTAGTCTCTTCCTCTTGACTTTAAAGCCATTGAGAATTAGCACAACCTTTTATCTTCCTCTCCTGTGCTCAGAGCATAGTACAGTTTCAAATGTTTGTTGAATGGGTCTTGTACTCTATTTTGAGAAAATAAGTCATTTAAGTGTGATAAGTATCTTCTAAAACCATAGTTTAAGTATATGAGAAATACCCTTGGTTACTAGGCTTATTAAATTAGCATGTTAAAGTATAAGGAAATAGAAATTAGAATGGCTCCAATTTACAGAACTACTTGTATTCTGAATTAATTTGCTGATCCATGTTTGAAACTTGAAATACTTTTGGCCCATGACAAAATATTATAACTGGTTAAGTTTCAGGCAGCTCACAGAATTCTATTTAACATGTAATTGTTTCAGTTCCATCACAGAATCCAGCAACTTTGTAACATGTTGAAAATTAATCCAGGGGGGCTGGCAGGTAGCCTGGTAGTTAAGGGTACCGGACTTGCAGACAGCCGACCATGGACCGAGTCCTGGACCTGACAGCTTGCTTTCTCACTTCACCTCTTTCTCTCTCGCTCTCGCTCTGTCCTTCTCTGGTCAAATTAAAAATAAATAAATAAATAAATAGATAGATAGATAGATAGATAGACAGATAGATAGTTAAATAAAATAATTCTAAAAAAAGAAAGAGTTAATCCAGGATTTTTTATTTAAAGTGGAAGATTGAATATACATGTTTACTTCTCCTTTCTGAAGCCCCACTAAAATAGCAACATAGGTATAAAAAAGATGTGAAGCCACACTTGGAAAAAGACAGAGACGAGATCTTAGCTGACAAGAGATAATCCATTGTATTAAGTTTGTAATTTGTAAGGCAGGTGAATAAACTATAATTGACCTAACAGGCCAAACAAACAAGCAAACAAACAAAACAAAGCGTGTAATTTAGGAACCTAGAATAGGGACAAACTAAGCAGCAAATTGACTTAGACAGTAGGCTCAGGAAATACGGGCATATCTCTGAAGAAATGGGTATAGATAATGTTGAAAATGACGTTTTTGAAATTCTTTAAAGTACCACGTGGATGCTTTAACTATTCCCTAACACCATGTGGGCAACTATTCTTCCCATCTTGGTAGTCCAGAGACATTGAAACAGAAAGACTAAATTCTGGGATGCTAGGTACCACTTGGGCAAGGATTCCATACTGAAAACTAGCAGTGACGGGAGTGGAGTGAGAGTCTGTATACTTAGTGGTGAAGTCCTTGGACTCCTACCCTTCTTAGACAAACACACCCCAACTAGGAGGTTGGCAGATTCCTCTTTTGGAGATTTTTCTGACCAGAAGACCTAATATATGTGGCAGTGATGCCTAGTCACTGTCTAAATAGCCTTCAGTAAATACTACCTCTTCCTAAGCCATATTCTCGGTGCCATTTTAGTGTATCATTCTTCAACACTCAAGAATTATCAAGCATTTGAAGAAAAAGTTTAAAATAAAAGATAACTAAAAAGAAGTTTGAAGGACCCAGATAGTGCAAGAAGAAAAAATTTCGAAAGCCTAGTTTCATGTGCCATTCCTGTAGTACAACAGTTCAGTGCTATTTAGAGGAAGCCAGATCCCACATGGTGGACTGTGAATGGAATCCTGACCTTAGCAGCTTGGAAAAAAACACCAGGCACATGTGCATGTGCCCAAGGCCTGACAGGATAGAGAAATGGAGGAAAACATTGTGCCATGACCGGTCCCCAGCCCCCCCCAGCCCCCACGCCTTTCTTACTTTGTTGTATACATTCATGAGCCCCAAGGGGGGGCAGAGAAGGAACTCATAGAAAAAAAATTATTTTTTGCAAAAGCCATAGTTTTATTACCCTTAGGGTGATTTTTAAAATGTTGTGTCCATAAAACAAGTGCAGGATACTGCAAAAAAGTAACATTTAGAGCAAAAAAGAATCCTTAACAAATAGAAATATGAAATCATAGGAAAAAAATTTCGTAGAATTGGGTTATAAGTTCATGGAAATATTCCTGAAAACTGAATAAGCATCAAAGAGAAAGTCAAAGGTAAAAATAGTGATAATGGTGGCACAGTACTATGAGTATACAATCCAGGAAATTGTACACCTTAAAGGAGTGAGTGAGTTTCATGGCATTGTGAATTTTATCTCAATAAAAGAGCTATTTTCAAAAGAAAAATAGAAGATGAGTCAAAGAATTCTAAGATCTGAAAAATAGTAGTTTCAGTCATTATAAGCAGAGAATAAAGTATTAAACATGGAAAACTAGAAATTTATCTTAAAAATTAAAAACCAGCAGTTAGCATAATGGCTATGTCACTAGACTCCCATGTAGTCGACCGCAGTTTGAGTCCTGGACCAGGTGGCTTAAACTCACCCCAGGCGCATGTGCGTGCATGCCCAAGATACTGAGAGTAGAATGGAGGAGAAGGGATTGTGGCGTGGCCATCCCCCATGGGGGGTGATTTCTCACTTTCTGTCTCTCTGTCTCTCTGTGTCTTTCTGGCAAGTGTGCGTGCCCTATAGCAAAAACCTCTCCAGTGAAAGAAAAAAAAATTAAAAACCATTTTTAATTTTAGATCAATTAAAATGAACAGTTCAAGCTTCAAAAAGTTCATGGAAAATGGAATTGCAATACAAGTTTATTTGGGTACCAAAAAAAAAATGAAATCTACACATAACTTTTTCATAGTATGCATTTTCATGAACTTTGTACTGAGAGTCATATTCCGAGCAGTATGAACAGAGATATGGACAGCCATATTTAAATAGTGAAGATTTATTGTGTCCATCAAAATAAGTGAAAAAAGACTCACACCAAAGTACAATATTAATTATACAATTAAAAAGTCCTCAGGATAAAGAGAGAAATCCTTTAGTCTTCCAGGGAAAATATACTTGGTTGCAAATAAACCATCTAGAATATGAATAGCTGAGAGAGGAAAGAAGGGAGGGAGGGAGGAAAATGAAAGGGTAAATAACCTGGTGTTTTCAAGTGTGTGGAAAAAAAATTATACTTTTGTAAAAAGTTAGATCAAACAGTGATTAGTTAGAAAATTAATTTAAAGATTAATAAATACCTTAAAGGAAAAAGAAAAATTTATAGTAAAAAGATGATGTATACACGGGGTCTTCCAAAAGTTCTTTAAAAACTGCAAAGTGCATATTAAAAAACTATGCATAGATTTTTAAAAAAATTTTGCTCCAGAATAAACTCGTATTTGAATTCCATTATTCTTTGAATTGTTTGAATTCCCCTCAGATAGCTCATGGTACCTGGCTCTACTGTGAATATATTGATTATAGCATAGAGAGTTAATACTGGGTTGTCAGAAAAGTTATGATTTTTTGTTTGTTTGTTTTTCTATGCAAAACTGTGTTGCAACTTTTCCAACAACCCAATATTTTATATAATGGAAAGTGTGAGTTCAGCTCTTTTGTTTTGATTTTGCATTGGTATCTAGTTGTTCCAGCACAATTTATATAAAAGACTATCCTTTCTCCACTGAATATCCTTTACATTGAGATTGATTGAAAATTGATTATTTGGGCCATCCAAGGCCTGCTGGTTAAGGTGGCTGGATCCAACATGGCCAACTACATTGTTCATATCCCAGACCCGGTGGCTGGAAAAACATGCTGGGTGAGTGTGCATATGCACCCAAAATCCTAAGAAGAGAATGGAAAAAAGATTGTGGCACAGCCAACACCCTGAAGGATGCTGTTTTACTTTCTGTGTATGTGCATGTGTGTGTGTGTATGTGCACGTACACGTCTGTCTGTCTCCCTCTGATGAATGCACGTTATCTCTAGCAAATTTGAAAAGTCAGTTCATGTATGTATGAGTCTGTTTCTGTAATCTCTGTTCAGTTCTTTGATCTATTTGTCTATGTTCGGACTCACTGACAAGAATCACAACTGAGCTAAGGTATAGGAGGAAATTATAAAACTAAAATTTTGAAAAAATAATGGAAGAGATTTATGATGTATTTTATTAACATAAAAAATAGAATTATTGGGACCAGCAGTTGGCATAATGCCTATGTCACTGGACTCCCATGTAGTCGACTGTGGTTTGATTCCCGGATCTGGTGGCTTAAACTCACGCCGGGCACTTGTGCATGCATGCCCAAGATCCTGAGAGGAGAATGTAAGAGAAGGGAAAGCAGCATGGCCTTACCCCTGGGGAGTGATTTCTCACTTTCTCTCTCTCTATCTCTCTCTGTCTTTCTGGCAAGCACACACACCCTATAGCAAAAAAATCCTCTAAAAAAAAAAAATAGAATTATTGAGACCAGCAGGTGGTGTGGTGTTAAGGTGCTGGATGCTCCCACATGACTGACCACAGTTCAAGTCCCAGATCTGGTGGCTTGCTTTCTCACTTTCCCTCTCTTTCTCTCTGGTCAAATTAAAAAATAAATGAATGGAAATTAAATAAATAATTCTTCAAAAAATAGACTTATTTTCTAAGATAAAAATTTAAATGGCTTACAGTATTATGGCATTTCAATTGTATGTGAAAGAAATTTTATATTCTTAGTATGCAATTAAGCATGTGGATTTCTACAAATTTGAATTCTTAGGACTTCAAGCTTATTTTCTTTATTGAAACATTTTTCCTTTTTTGTTTTTTATCCTGTAGGACTAAATTTGCAGCATATTTCCAGTTCTCTTCTGAGCTATTCAGTCACTGATTCTTCTTCAGAATATGAGAGTTATGAAGAGAGTTTAAGTAGCTTTCCATCACCTGAACTGTTCAGAGGATCAGATTATTTAGGTGAGAAAATTCTTCTAACTTTACATTGCTCCACTATATAAATTGTTCCTTTGGTCACTAATCTTCCAGTGAATAAGTGTTCCTTTCTAGAAGACATACTTCTTATCCTCACTAATGCTTCCTGCCCCTAACCACTACCCATTGTGATCCGTGCTCAGTTACATAGGACTGTAGGGCAAAGGCAAAAGCACTCAGATGAGAGAAGGATGAAGAAATATCACTTAGCATGTATTTAAAACATATGATACCCATCTGCTTATTAGTATTTTTATTTATTTATTTATTTTTAGTTTTTTGCCATAGGGCATATGCACTCACCAGAGAGAGAGAGAGACAGAGAAAGATAGTGAGAGATAAAGTGAAAAATTAACACCCACCCCACCCCCCTGGGGGGGGGAGAAGGCCACACTGTAACCCCTTCTCTTCCATTCTCCTCTTGGGATTCTGAGCACACTGGTATCCTATAATGCACACGCACCTGGCATAATAAGTGAACTATAGACTATCTTTATTTTTATGAATAACTTAAACATTAACTAGCCCAAGTGCCTGCTCAGATTTTTCTTTACAAATTAATGTTTATATATATTCATTATACATATAAATAGAGCTTCCAGTTAATGATGGCAGATTGAACACATACCTTCCTCTACAACTTTCTGCAGTAATGGAAAATGACTTTTTCTGTTTTGTTCTTTTTTAAAAGAATATTTATTTATTTATTTATTTAATGGGAGAGGAAAGAGAAACAGGTGCCCACTATAGAATCCTCATGCTGCAGTCCAATCACAGTTTCAGTCAGCCTGGATCACAAGCATGTATTGCATCCCTGGTGTGTAGGCCTCAGGACACAAACCTGGGACCTTCCTGGGTCCAGCATTGCAGAGCTGAATTATCACCATACTAAATCTGGCCTCTTTGCTTTTTGAAAATTCTTTCTTTTTAAGGACATAAATCCACAAGGTCAAAGAAAATTAGAAATACAAAAGCATAAGGTTTGGAGAGTTAGAGAGTAGATGGTATGATGCAACAGATCTGAGCAGGCTGAGTCTTAAATCAGCAATGTCAATATCCTAGAAACAAGCCCATCTGAACTATAGTATCCCAGGAAAGCTCACGAGTTGGCTATTTGAGCTACTTCTAAAAAGATACATCAGAAACATGAAAGTTGTGCTAATTCTTTCCTACTCAAAGGGAGCCTGGGTACTTATCCTTTGGGATGTTTTGAAATAGACACTTTGGACTAGAGAACACCAAGTACAATTATTAGCAGGGATACTGTGGGATGTTGAAATATTAGCCCCATTACTATTCCCCTGTTACAGTATTACATACTCATGTCCGTTCTATAGCCTCATAGTGGATAGTGTACTTTTCTACGCTTTGGTTTTGGTGTCAGCCATGTGACTTGCTTTGGGCAATAGGGTATCAGTGAACAAAACTTAAGAAAAGCTTTGAAATGAGCTTAAATAGTTTAGGCTTGTCCTTTTGCACTTTTGCTGTCATAGTGAGAATATATCCTTATTAGCTTTTGCCTCTGGGTGAGACTCTAGAATGGAAAGTATAAAGGCAACCTACAGACTGCAGAGAGCTGACCCATGGATCTGCAGATCTGTAATCAAAGCAACTAGGTCTTCAGCCAACTAATAGATGTAGGAGCAAGAAATCCATGCTCTCCAATATATGCCACTGAAATTTCAAGGTTCTTTACTATACAGCAAAAGCTGACTGCTGCAGATAATATGCTGAGCACAGAGCAGAGGAAATTATTCCCACTCCAACCCAACAACTCATTTCTCTGGTCACCTTCCAGAATATTTAAGCACAGACTTGAATCTCCAAGCCAAAGAATGGGAGATTCTTTTCTCAGGAATCTGTGGAGCCCAAATCAAAATAGCTAAAAATACTGACCCAAGGAGTCCTTCAATTAAACTGACCAGCCAGAACACCCTACAGTGGAGCCAGCTAGGGCCACAGGGATTCCACTTAATATTTTTTGGCCCCTTTTAAAATATGAACAGAGAACCAAGTATCACCAGACTCCTGTGGAAAGCTTCTAACATTAAACATATAGAGATCTAAACAAAATATGAGCTTGATGTCAGCAAGATCTTGTACTAGGAAGCCCTGAATCTTCCTCCCCGCAATGGAAGCACCTACTCAATAGCAATATTTGGAGTGATTCCATTTCCGAGAAATCTAGAAACTAGTTGAGGGGCTCCTGCACCCTGGGTAAGCACAGGCCAACCGCAGTAAGTCGGTAGGAAATTCTGAAATATCCTTTTATCAAAATCCCTACCCCTGACATTACACCATGTAGTCGGGAGGAAATCCCCAGCTCTTAGCTTCTTCCTGAGAGGAGGAGGAAAAGAAAACAGGACAAATACATTCAACATTTTTAATCTTTGCAGCAGTACCTGAGGGACTGATCTTCTGTCTTGTCCATCTCAGAGTGCTGATGAGATGCTTTACAGCAACATGAAAGTATAAAATTCACTGGTAAAGGTAAATATATAGACAAATACAGAATACTGCATAGTGTAAATCACTTTTGATTGTAATGTAAATGTCAAAAGTGTTAAAAAATATAACTAAAAATATGTTCATGGATATACAATGTAAAATGAGTAAATTGTGACATCAGTAACAAAGAACAGGAGAGGGAGAAGTAAGAATGTAATTTTTATATGCGCTTGAAATTAGTTATTATCAGCTTAAAATAGACATTTATGACTACATAAGGTTTTACATTAAGTCCCTATGGAAGACACACAAAAGAAAAAAAGAATCAAAGCATATTAAAAATTAAATGAAAGAGGAAGACAGCAAGAGAGGAAAAAGGGGCAAAAAATAGTTAGAAAAATAAAATTTAGCAAAATGACTGTACTCAGTTTTTCCTATCAACAATTTAAGTGGCTTAAACTCCCCAATAAAAAAGACATAGAATGGCTGAATGGATAAAAGAGTGAAAAATATGTACTTGTTTATAAAAGATTTATTTTAAATTTAAAGACATACATACACTGAAAATAAAGAGATAGGAAAGGATATTCCATACAAATAATAACTGAAAGCAGACAGGACTATATTTACATCTGATAAAGACTTTAATTCAAAAACTGTTACAAGAAGCACAAAATATAACACAATCAACTCATCAGGAAGCTACAACAATTATGTATACACCCAACATCAGAGCACCTAGATATATAAAGCAAACATGGAGAGAACTGAAAGGAGAGGGGCCAACAGGTGGTATGGTGGTTAAGGTCATTGGACTCCCACATGGCTGACCAGGTTTTGAGTCTGGACCAGGCATCTTGGTTTTTTTTTTTTTTTCTCTCTCTCTCTTTCTCACCCACTCTGTCCTGCTCTGGTCAAATTACAATAAATAAATAAAGTTAAATAAAATAATTCTTTAAAAATAATTTAAAGGAGAAACAAAGAACAATGCAATAATAGTAGGAGACTTCAATATCCCATGCTCAAGAGTAGATAGAACAGGGAACCAGCAGTTAGTGTAACGGCTATGTCGCTGAACTCCCATGTAGTCGACCGCGGTTCGCGTCTCGGACCCGGTGGCTCGAAACTCACACCAGGCGCGTGTGCGTGCGTGCCCAAGATCCCGAGAGGAGAATGGAGGAGAAGGGATTGTGGCGTGACCATCCCCCCTGGGGGGTGATTTCTCGCTTTCTGTCTCTATGTCTCTCTCTGTCTGTCTGGCGAGCGCACGCGCCCTATGGCAAAAATCTCTCTCTCAAAAAAAAAAAAAAAAAAAAAGAGTAGATAGAACATGCAAACAGAAAATCAGTAAGGAGACAGTAGTCTCGAACAATACTACCAACCAAATATATCTAACAGACATATACAGAACATTTTATCCAATGGCAACACATTCTTCTTATACACACAGAGCACTCCAGGTAGATCACATTTTAGCCATAAAACAGGTGTTAAGAAATTTAAGATTTAAATCATAACAAGTATGTTTTCTGATGATAATGGAAAGAAGCTAGAAATCAATAACAGAAAGAGTACTGAAAAATATGCAAGGGGTTTCCCTATGGCTTAGTAGTAAAGGGAGCTGGATCCCACATGACTGACTGTGGATTTGAATCCCAGTCCCAGTGGCTTGAAAACATACTGAGCTGTGTACATTCATGTCCCAAATCCTGACAGGATGGATAGATGAAGGAGTAGGTATTGCGATGTGACCACATCCCATCTGGGGTGTTTTCTCCCTCTGTTTCTCTCTCTAGCAAGTGTATATGCCCTCTGGCAAAGAAAAAAATACCACAGATAGGCGGAAATTAAGCAACATACTCTTGAACAACCAATGAGTGAAGTAATCAAAAGGGAAATTACAAAATATCTTGAGACAAACCAAGCACACTAAAGCTTGTAGGATACAGTAAAAGCAGAACTAAGAGGAAATTTTATTGTGATAAACAACTACACTAAGAAGAATGATCTTGGACTAGCCTGTGACATGGTGGTTAAAGTGGCTGGATCCCACATGGCCAACTGTATCGTTCAGGTCCCAGACCCAGTGGCCTGAAAAATGTGTGCCTGCCCAGAAATCTCAAATGGCGGAGGAGGGATAGCAATGTGACCATCACCTATGGAGGGAGGGAGGTGCTTTCTCACCCCTTCTTCATGTATCTCTGGTGAACACAACCTCTGATAAAATTTTTAAAATAAAAAAGATCTTGGGATCAGCAGATGGTGTAATGGTTATGTTGCTGTACTCCCACATAGTCAACCACAATTCAAGTCCAGGACCCAGCAGCTTAAAATGCACACCAGGTACATGTGCATGCATGCCCAAAATCCCAAGAGGAGAATAGAGGAGAAGGGATTGTGGCATGGCCATCCCCCCAGGGGAACGATTTCTCATTTTCTGTCTCTCCTTCTCTGGCAAGCTCACACACCTTATGGCAAAAATTTCTCTTCGAAAAAGAAAACCCTCGAACAAGCTAATGTTATACCTCAAGGAACTA